GAAGGTTCTGGAAATGAAAGCATTACGGCGCCAGGAGCAAGCAAGTATCATACAGCTTTACAAAACCCGTATTGAAGGGCAGTCAGCTGCGGTAGATTCTGGTTTGTTTGTTTCTCTCTTTCTCTCTCTGTTTGCCACTCCTAGGCCACAATTAATTGCCTTAACGATCTGGAGGGCGTTGATGGTACTTTTGCACTTTGACCAGTTGTTTTTTATTATGCTGTTTTTCGTCATTTTTGCGGCTTTCATTCACAGAATTCCATATAGCTGTTGAACGGGCCCTTTGATCTTTTCTGCGTTTTTTTTTTCTTTTTTTTTTTTTTTTACATTGCTCTCGTGGAACAATGATCTAAGTTTCACGCATGTCTGATTTCAGCAGCAGTCGGTGCGCAGTCATCAGCCTTTTCAGCACTGGAAAGCATTGGTGATTCAAGTATGCGAAGGTTGGAGCAGCTTGTTAAAAAGAAAATCTGATGTGATGTTTTGCTCATTCCGTGATCGTGTTGTGATAATTGCATAACGTGACATTGACGTGTGTCTAGTCGCTGTACGATGAACCATCAGAATTAGATAAAATAGAAAAGAAAAGCGGGGAGGGAGGAGAGAGGAGGTTTGGGTACCGTATTTAGGGTATTGCCCTTTTTTCGGAACTCGGTGCGTCAGCAAGTGCGGTTTTGTACTCTGCATGCCAACTGCGATAATTTGACTGCTCTGAAGTTTAACTTATTTCTTGCACACTGTTTCAACAGTAATTTCAATAAAGAGCCATAAAAGATTCGAAGCAGTAAGTTTTAGTTAAGGGTGGCAAATCTTAAATGCAATTACACCGACTTTTATGCTAATCTCCATCATTATCTAAACAAAATTGACCTGCTCCCAGCACTCCTTTTCTCATCTCACTCTTTTTGAAAGGCCAAGTAACAGGAGCGGCAGCATTTTGCCAGTAATAATCAAATAATATCAAAATTATGGTTCCGGAATACTACAGTAGCGCGGATGTTGTGTTACCTCAAGGGTGCAGTGATGTGGGTTGGTTTCGGGTTTCTCATTTTGCCATGCAAAAAACCTGGAACAGCGGTCATTTAGTGATCTGCCTGTGAAGCTGGCATTTCTCCCAGTTGTTCTGGCCGGCGATATATCGCCTGATGGTCAGCGACACCGACTTTCACTTCGCCTACCGGTCTCAGGGTACCCTGGAGCGGCACTTATTATGCGTTTTGTGCTGTGTAATAGCAATACAAAACGCATATTGTCACGGGGTTGTCTGTGTGTGTTTATGTGTGTGTGTGTGTGTGTGTGTCCGCAGCAACTTGTCCGCAACTTTCAACTCGGGAACCACAAAAGCTAGGAAAGCGCTGAATAGGGTAACGTTTCCCACCCACGTGTGACCCCACAAATTTAAATTCAGCTTCCCCGTACCCACGGGTAACGTGTACGGCCAGAACGTTCCCCACCCACGTGTGACCCCGCAAACTTAAATTCAGCTTCCCCGTACCCGCGGGTAACGC